TTTTTCTTGGTATCTTAAGATTGTAGGGAAATTTACGTATAATTTTATATTCTTGAAAATAACTAAAAAAATTAATAGCTATATTAGTATCCTTTAAAACAAATGGCACTCCATTTTTCATATGTCAATATAACACTTTGTTTAGTACATAGATTTAGTTTCGCTTTTCTGCAATAGTAGAACCTGAATATTAAGTAAACTGGAGATTGTATTGTTTACAAGTGATTCTTGTGTCATTGGCTTGAGTGTGTGCTTGCATAATTAAAAAAAACAAAACAAACAAAACCCAACAACTCCTAAGATAAATTCTTAGAGGTTAAATGCCAATGTCAATGATAATGCAGTTTTAAAAGCCTCTTGATATTGTGAAATTGACTTCCAGGAAAGTTATTCCAGCTAAAATTCTCACTGATAGTTTCTAATATTCCTGGCTGTGGGTGTTTGGGAGTACTTTGACGTAAGCAGTACATAGAATTGGTAGCCTCCCTGTCTCAAATACATTGTCCCACCTAGACTTTCTTCTTTAGGACAGAAGGAACTTCCATCAACTATCTTTATCTGTTTGACTCAAAAGTGACCTTGTGGAGTTGAGAGCAGAGCCTGATGCATGGTTCTCAACAGCCTATGATGAGTCATGGGGAAGGTGCCAGGCTTCCCTGGTCCAGCCCAAGGACACAGGGCTTTCTTACAAGATTTTATGGAGAATACACATGTATATTCACTAACACAGAAGAAAGCCATGGTATGCACTGCTTAAAGGAATCACAACTGGCTATCATAATGACAGCAAGATAGAGTGGAAGAGTCCTGATTATAGCAGACACATGATTTAGAATAGAACTCAGTCATGATTTAAAAACTTTTAAGCAAGAGAATGTCAGTTTTCTCATCTGTAAAATGAAGGTTTTTGATGTAGCAGCTTTAAAATCCCTGTTGACACTAATATAGTTCTACCATTTAAAAAAAATGATTATGGAGCACAGAAGAATGGGAGGTTAAGATAGCACATATTTAATTTAGACTTGAGTAGAGCATTTTCCTTCTGTTGGGGCAGTTTGAATCTAATTCACTGTAAAAAAAAGAGGAAATTCAAATAGTAATGTTAACATTGCAGCCTGAACTACATTTTGATCATTATGGCAAAACCCAAACAAATCTAAATGAAAAGAAGTTAACAAGCGAAGTTATTTCTCTTTTTGTATAAAGAAAATTCCAAATTATACCTATTCAAATACTACATCAAGGTTTGTTTGTAGTACTCACATAGGAAATCATGCAAAGTATTGTTTTGGAAATGATTATACTAAAACATCAAAAATTTCTTTATTCTACAAGAAAATCCCATTGTGTATGGACAATCTGACCACAGGAATTTAGAAAACAATAAAATGACTTCTTAGAAAAACATGAACATTAGGTAAATAATAGCCAATATGTTTAGTGAATGTGTGTAATTATTTTCCATGATGAAAAAAAGAGGTTCTTCCTTTCCTGTTTGATCTACACTGTCAAAAATGAAATGCAAGGCAAGTTGTGTTTTGTTCTTCAATTCCTAAAACATCATTATACTAAAATGACATTTTTATGTAGTTTATTTCAAAAATGGTTATAAAGATATTCTGTCAGGTAAAGACCCTTAATTATGTACACTAACATTTCTGTCTTTTGGTATTTCTTAAGCATTCTAGTACCATTATTTTGAAATGAAATATTAATATAATTTTTTTAGAAAGAGCAAATTGCCCTCGATTCATTTACTTAATTAATATATGTTTACAAAGGATAAGTGTGTTTGCAAATGCAAATAAAACCTGATGTCATAAAGTCAATTCTGATCCAGTGACCTTGATGTCACAAAGTCAATTCTGATCAAGTGACCCCATAGAACAGAGGAGATTTCCAAGGCTCTAGGTTTTACAGATGCAAACTGTGACTCCTCAGTAAAACAACTTGTAGCTTCAAAACACTGACCTTTTTGTTAGGCACTGGGTAATTTATCAACCAGACTATCAAAGATCCTTTTAAATATAGAGTTAGAGGGATAGAAAGATACAGAAATAATTCATTGCTGTCAAGTTAGAACTGACTTATAGCTGACCCTCATAGCCGAGTGGGTTTTCAGAAGATGTAAATCACATAGGAAGAGATTGCCTATCTTTCTCTCATGGAATAGTTGGTGGATTTGAACTGTCTTATCTTTGGGTAGACAGTGCAACTCCTTACCTAATAAATTAGAGTTTGTTATATAGAGATATATATCTAGATAAAGAAATATATACATTCATAAATCTCACAAATAGTTTCTTAAGGATTTAAATATAAAAATAGTGTTAGAAATTATAGTATTTCACTGTAATGAAGACAATTTAATAAAGGGCATTTTTTAATTTAGGAAAAAGCCTTAACACCCATTTCCTACATTTTATATATTAAAAAAGTCAATGGCTTGTCTAATATCTGATCTGTAACTGTGTTGCAGGTGGGATCTGGAGCCATTTTTGGTAAACATAGTGCTAGTCTCTAACCATTAATTGTTAATTGTCCATTTTCTCTGCTATGACTGACAGTGCTGAAATACATACATATATTTCTAAACTCCTGATGTCCATGGAATACTATGCAACACTCAGAAGCAATGATTTTGAAAAATAGTATATAACTTAGGAGAGGCTGGAGAGAATTATGCTGCATGAACTAACTCAATTTCATGTGAACAAATACTGCATAAGACCTTTGTTGTAAAAATCGAAGGAAAACTAGTAAAACATGTATGAGAACTCAAGGCAGGGAGAACTGTGATGAGTAGGGGTGAAACCACAGGACTGCACAGTTCGGTAGGTGGAAGGGGGGCAAGGAAATTGGAAGGATATGGGTAAAAAGACAGGGTAATGATGGGCAAGGTCCAATGGTACTTAATTTTATAAAACATAATACATGAGAATGATTGTAAGAAACACAATATGAATGAAGAATAATGTGAAAACAATGCATATAGTATGTGAAACACTTTGTAAGCAAACATTTAAAAAAGGTAAAAAAATCCCGATGTCTAATATTTTATAAATGTTTCATTTCCTTAAATACAAATTGTGGAATATGAGACAACATGACTTCATCTGTGTAGATGATGGAATATTTTGTTATTCTATAAAGTGGGCTTAATCCAAATAAAACATTGATAGACATATTTGGAAGAAAATTGTTTAGCAAGCTATTTTTTTTGTTGAATGTTTTATTGTCATTCCTTATATTACTCTCCAGGATAAAGTAAATGAATGTTGCATGTAAATGTGCTTCGAAAAAAGGAAGACCTTAAAAGAGATGGATTGATGCAGTGGCAGCAAGCACTGGCTGGAGCCCAGCAGAGATTGGAAGGATGGCCCTTAGAGGGCAGAGTTTTGGTCTGATGTCTATAACTGAGCTGGAGCCTACCTGAGGGCACCTAACAACATTTTAAAGTTGGATTGAAAGCAAATAAAAACCCCACCTAAAACCTCAAATTTGCCTAAGTGAAAACATGCCCAGTGAAATGAACATAATCATAAACTCTGATCACGTTAAACACAACATCAAAATCCAAGGTAACCAAGTTACCTGCTGTTGAGTTAGTATCCAATAAAGAATTCTTAAATGATAAGCTTAATACAAATGAATTCCCTATAGAGTATCAGAAAATTTTAAGTTTAGTACATCTCTTTCTAAAAGAACATCATAGCCAAGGTATATACAGTATAACCATAAATACATTGTATTTTAAAAATTAACATATAAATGCATTTTTAATAAAACCATTGAAAATATTAGGCATAATGTTGTTGTTTTACACACTTCATGTTGGTAAAATTAAACCCAACTTAAAGCTATCTAAATTCAGGAAGCACAAATACCATCCACAAGAGATGGGAATTTTAAAAATCCAAGCAAACAAAGCTCAAAATAACCTCTGTACCTTCCCATGGTTACTGCTGTGGTTAAAGGAGATTCTGTTTTGCATCAGGGACTCTCTCTCAATGACTCACCAGCTATACTAATAATAAATGCTTTGCATAGATGTCGCTTCAACAAAGACTTTGACTATTCACTGCAGCTGCAGAAAGCTTGGGCACAGCCTGAGGAAGCCGCTTTCTGCTGGACTAACCTCTAATTGTTTTTATTTCTTAGATTGTGGCACTCCTCGTTGAATTGTGAGCTTTACTAATGGTCTCTCCTGCCTCTCATCTGGAAGCTTTAATTATGAGACCTAAGAATTTAGTGTACATGTATCTGTGTTTAACTAAAATAGAACTTTGTCTCAGTCCTCCAAGATGAGATGGTGTGGCTGTCATGAATGACATCATCATCCAGAGCGAGAGACACTGAGTGATGTTTTCTCTGAGATTCGATAAAGCAGCTAAGGTAGTAGAACAAAGAAATTAATGGTAGCAGCATTACTATCTGTAATTGTTTTGTTTAATGTCTGGGAGGATTAAAATCAATGAAGTTCTTCCAAAAATAGCCCTCTAATTGGACAATGGTAATTTATTTTTTGTCTTAATGTTATTGTAATTGAAAATTTATTTAGGAGCAAATTGAGATCTTGTGCAAATGAGGAACAAAGTCATGTATGCCCAGTCATCACGTCATTTCTTTAATTTCATGTAATGTTGATGAACAGCATCATTAAGTACAAATAAAAGGAAACAGATTAATTTTACAACAGCTCATTTTATTATAGAGATGAGGCATTTTTGTGAGGATTTTTTTTAATTTTAGTCTTAAGGCAGTCATGATTAGTTACAAAGAATTTCTAGGCTACAATAAAACACAAAAATTGTCTTTTCTAGTTGTTTTGAATTTAATAACATGCTAATAACTTGTTTATTAAAATGGTATTATCTAACTCATTTAAGAAAAACCCTTTGTAGTAGTAGAACGTGTTGTGTTATTTTCATAAAATGAACTATAATCACATTTTAGAACAATTTACCAATATTACAACAGATTATTACTTTAGAGCTTACCTCAAAGTGGGTAAAATAAGATCTAAGTTTTTGTACAGGACTGCTCCAAGAACAAACACAGACGATTCATCTAATTCTAGAAAGAATAGATTTTTTCAATGAGTAAAACAGCAAAGAAATTGCTTTCTGCATTAATCTGCTCATTATGAGGGTATTATACTGCTTGCTGATGCAAAGATGAAGCTGGGAGATCAAAAGGAAGTGGGGGGGGGCCTCAGAAAACATAAAGCCACTGTCAAGAAGTCAATTCTCTTTCTTACCAATCCTGTAGGCCAGTCCCCTAGGGCTGGAAAGCTGTAAAATTTTACTGAATGGGACTGCTACACCTTTCTCTGATGTAGTTAGTTGGTTACAACAGACAACATCTTGGTTAATAACTGGCAGCCACTGTAGTACCAGAACTCTTTAAAAAAAAAAAATCCATGGGACAAGCTAGACCCACACCTCAAACTACTGATGGCTCTAGAAGACATGTTGCTTTTTTTGTTGTTTTGTTTTGTGGCTTATCATCATGAAGTAGCTAGCACCACCAGAATGAGACAGGCAATCACTTCACTAGTTAATGAGTTTAAATTGCAATACAAGAAAGGGGAGTTCATTTTGATACAGTCTTCAAACAACTGCTGTTATACTTTAGGTTGCCAGTGAATCAATTCTGAAATAAAATGACCTCATTTGTTTCCCACTTGACTTGCTTTGTGATCATTTCATTGGGAAGCAGATGGCCAAACCTGTCTTCCAAGGTGCTGATGGGTGGATTCAAATTGTCAGGCCACTTAGTGGCTGTCAGTGCAGCACTAAGCCATTTGCCCTGATATACAGCTCCAAGATAAAAGGAGGATCATACAATTGCTCTTTAAAATGACTATTAATTTTAGAAACTATTAAATACATTTTTTAAAATTAGCTTAAACAGTTACACACACACACATTCTGAAGTAGTATTACCAAACCAAAGAATTTTTTAATGTAAGAAACAGAAAATGACTTTTCATGAAAACTAAAACACATTTTAAGAGATAAAGTTAAATTATTAGGTCAGATTTTATACTAAAATAAGATTGTCAGTAATGAAACTTATTACAGTGAGCTCAGACACTATAATTTGCACTTGCAATGTGTGTGTGTGTTTGTGTATGTGTATGTATGCTCCCGTGCATGCTAACTAGATTTTTTCTTGAGTAAATTTAGAGATGTAAATACGAGTTAAGTCTCTACATTTACAAAATTAGTTTTAAATCTTGATTTCTGATTTCTAGATCTCTAGTCTGTTTCTAGATAATTTAATAGAGAGAGATGTATGGATTGTATCTCACATAATGAGCTTATCATAAAATGCTTTGTTAAAACTCCAAAAATTTCATATTTACCTTTTGATGACAGAGGAGTGAAAATACTTTTTGGAATGACCACTCTGTCTTCAGAGTTTCTTGCCCAGTCAACCATTCCTTTTCGTCCTTTCATTGGGAAGTTGATGTCTGTTAGGACAGAGGCTGCAGGAAGCTTTTGAATGCTAGCCACTATTTAAAAAAAAAAAAAAAGCACAACAAGACAATAATGTCAAATAAAATTGTGAGCTCCTTTCCCCCAATATAATTATAGAAGATCAAATTAAGCCTTAAGGTATATAAAAATAAAATTTCAAATAAAAATCGTAGCTGTCAAAGCTATAAAGTAAACTTCTTCTAATGCATCTTCCATGAAAGTAGTTGTTTTTTTTTCACTTAGTAATTGAGTTTCTATGTTGCTTTTTCAGATTATGTGGGAGGCTGGGTTCTAGTGAGGAGAAATGTGGCATCAGAGGAAGATTCATCAAAGATTCTACATTACAGAGATGACACAACCCTGCTTGCTGAAACTGAGGAGAACCTGAAGTGCTTGCTGCAGAAAGTCAAGGACTTCAGGCTTCAAAATGGATTGAAGCTCAGCATCAAGAAAACAATTCTCACCATTGGGCCGATTAGCAGCATTATGATAGATGAAGAGATTGAGATTGTTAGAAGCTTCAGTTTGCTTGGCTCTACAATCAATACCTTTGGTACCAGCAGCCAGGAAATTACAAGATGAATTGCATTGGGGAAAATATGCTGTCAGAGACCTCTCCAAAATACTGAGAAGCAACAATGTCAGTCTGGAGACTAAGGTGTGCCTGGTGCAGGCCCTGGTCTTTGCAATTACATGCTACTCATCAGAAAACTGAACAACTACTAGAGATGATAGGAGGAGAATTGATGTCTTTGAGCTGTGGTACTGGAAAAGAGTACTGAATATAGCATGGACTGCTGGGAGAACAAACAGGTTCATCCTGGAGAGGGTGAAACCAGGCTGCACCTTGAACACCAGGATTCTGAGGCTTCATCTGACATAGCTGTGACACATTGCAAGGAGGGAACAGTCCTTGGAGAGGGACGTCAAGCTTGGGAGGATGGAGGGACAGCACAGGAGAGGAAGAACCTCAATAAGGTGGACTGATTCAGTGACTGGGCTAATAGAGGTAGGTGTGTCAGAGACAGTGAGATTGGCACTGGATAGAGCTGGGTTTAGGCCTGTTGTACATAGGGTCGCTATGAGTTGCAAGTGACTCGAATGCACATAACAACAACAATAACAACATTTGCTTTCAGCAAGAATCAAACAATGATGGTTAAAGGTGCAGCAGATATTCTGAGAAAACTGACAGGTCTCATCATACTTGCTGCTTTTGGTTTACCTCCATACCAATCACTATGAGACCATGCAGCATCATTTGTCAAATATTTAACCTAGTGGATTAACAGACTGAAATTGGTATTTACAAACCATCTTTGTCTTCAGAACAAATTATCTGAATTTACACTTAAATGTTTCCCTAGGAACAAATTTTTCATTGATTACAGGTGGTGAAAGCAAATACCATATAACAGTAATAATATTAAAACCATAGACTCACATTATATGCAGAAATATTTATGATAAAGGTAAACAGAACAAACAATATCTAAAACTTCCTCTACAAATAAATGTAGTAAGCAAATGTGCATGAATGGTATATAATGCCATTACCAACAATAAAAATAAATTGATATTTTGGCTGTTTCCATGTTCTTGTGTATATAATGCGTGTATGTGTTTGTGTGTGCGTGTGTATGTGTATGTGTATGTATACATACACATACATAAATATATATACATATATTTGTGTGTAGATATATACTTTTTTGCTGTTTCCATGTTCTTGTGTACATAATACGTGTATATGTGTCTATGCATGTGTGTGTGTGTGTTAAAGTAAGAAGCCACCTGATGTTGTTTGGTCCTATGCCACTAACTTAGTTCCACATTATGTTGGTAATATATTAATAAGTGATGTAAATAAAATTGCATTTTATCAGATATCTTTCAGGCTGTGATACACATTCGTTATTAGAAACAATGGAATTTTATTTGGATCATAATTTAACATGTTGTTGTTGTTGTTATGTGCCGTCGAGTCGCCTGCGACTCATATCGACCCTATGTACAACAAACAGCCCTAAACTCCGCTCTGTCCTGTGCCAATCGCACTGTCTCTGAAACTCCCATCCCAATTATCCCAGTCACTGAATCAATCCACCTCATAGGGGGCCTTCCTCTCCTGCGCCGTCCCTCCACCCTCCCAAGCATGATGTCCCTCTCTAAGGACCGGTCTCTCCTCACTACATGTCCAAAGTAAGTTAGACGGAGCCTCAGAATCCTTGCCTCCAAGGAGCCACCCTGTTTAACCCTCTCCAGTTAGTTATAAAAGCATTTTGTAATTAAATGTTGAAGGGAAATAGTTCCAAGTAAAATATTTCTGTGAATAACTGTCTTTATCTTGCCTTTGTCCTGATTCTTTAAATAAAATTAAAAAAACCCACCAAACAACAAAACAGATTGAAAACAATTTCCCTTAAGCCTGAGAAGTTAACAGTTTTCTACCCCAAAAGAACACTTAATTGTACTCATAAGAAACCTGTACATAGACTAAGAAGCAGCTGTCTGAACAGAACAAGAAACAATGCAAGGTTAAAAATCAGGAAAGGTGTGCATCAGAGTTATAGACTTTCTCTGGTCCATCTGTTCACTCTTATGCTGAGCAAATCAGTATTGGAAAAGACTCATCAAGAACCTGTTATGCAGATGACATAAACTTGTTTGCAAAAAAGAGGAGAGGATTGACAAAAGAGCAGAGAATACGGCCTTCAATCTGAATTTTATTTCAACATCAAGAAAATAAAAATTCTCACGAGACCAAAAGGTAAAATCATTAATGTTGGAGAAAAAAATTGAAGTTGTCAACAGTTTTAATTTACGTGAATACATAAACAACAATCATGAAAGTAGTAATCAAGAAGCTAAAAGATGTATTGAGGTGAAGAAATCTGCCATTAAACACCTCTCTAAAATGATAAAAAGCAAGGATATCAGTTTAAAGACTAAAGGCTTGCAGAAGTGGCCTTTTAAAAGAATCAGGGAGGAATAGGCCATCTTCTGGCAGAAAAGTAGTCTTACAGCTTGTGGATTGGCTGCAGCTGCTTGTGCTAGTGGTGACGCTGTTAAACCAGCATTCTCTTGGCAGAGGAAGTAGTCGTGAAGCATGCTGACTGGCTGACAGCAAGATAGGTAGTTGCCTGAGAGTGAGTCAGCCCTGCAGGGCCTATCAACCTAGCTTAAAAAAAAAAAAAATATATATATATATATATATATATATATACACACACACACACACACATATATAGCGGTGATGTATTCTCTCTGGCTGCTTTCTGAAGAGGGGAGTCATTGTGGGGATGGGGGGAAAAAGGCAGGGAGACAGCTTGCTGGGCAGTTGGGCATAAGGATAGAGTAACATCTAGTTAACTGTGACTTGAGAAATTTCACAGATATGAGATTGCAAAAATTTTAGTAGGCATGATACTATTAATTACAATAAAGAGATTATTAGTAGTGGACTTATGATTGGGGCTAGCCAAGTAATTAATGGTGATTGCCACTACCCTGATTGGATTCTTATGGTATATTTCCTCTGCTGTAACTCATCTTGGAGTTGGGTCATGCTATCTAAATTTTCTTCAACTAGGCCTGTTTAATTACTATAACAACACCATTGTTCTCTGAGAAACAAACAAATCCCACCTTTATCTGCTGTCAGCAGGTCTAAGGTTCAACTGTTTTGAAGAAATACCTGGGTTAGAGAGTTAATTTCTCATTGGAGAGATGCTAAAGAGTTAACAGAGGCACCTATGGCTATTTGGAGTTTGTACTCCAGATGGCGGAGGCTGTAAGGGAGTAACCTAGACCACCACCAGCTAGGCCCGCTGCAACTATAGAGGATACAAAGAGATGCCAGATATAGCTGAGAGGAATATGATTCTTTGGGGTTTATGTTGGTTGGCAGGTGTGAGGAGGGCAAACAATTCTTCTTTCCCATATATAAGCTGACGGACTAAGGCAGCAGGAATGCATGGAAAGGGGGAAGATGTTCCATGTTTCTAAACCAGATATATGGTAAGATAGACATGGAAATGAAAGTAAGCAAAGAAAGCGTTTATTATGGCTCTAAGGCTCTTGGGCACGGTTCTTTCACCCAGGCTGAAGAGAGAAGAGACAGAGACAGGCTGACAGAATGGGTCAGAGAAGTTTGCATGTGGCATGAAATAGTAGTGGGCTTTTAAAAGACTCAGGGAGGAATGAGCCGTCTTCTGGTAGAGGAAGTAGTCTTATAGCTCATGGATTGGCTGCAGTTGCTGGCACTAGTGGTGACTCTGTTAAATGGGCAGTCTCTTGGCAGAGGAGGAACATGCTGATTGGCTGCAGCTGTTGTCAGCAAGATAGGTTGTAGCCAGGGAGTGAGTCAGCCCCACAGGGCCTATCACCTAAGAATAATAACAACAACCCCAGATGATATCCTTATTTCATCTGAGTTGATTGACATTTCTAGGGTAATTTTAAAAAGGATGTTTTAAAAAATGTTTGTCTGACTTTGGGCTTAAGCTTTCATTGTGGTTTTTAGGGACTGGTCAAGAGAATATACAAATGAGACATCTGTACTTTAAAATAGAAATGGAGATTGGTGAGTTTGTGGCCTGGCCATAGGAAATGTCTTCAAATTAATGAGTAGTTGGTAGCTATAAGCTGCTAGCTTCAAAGAAATTTTAGATGGAAGAGGAAGTAGGTAGAGATGGAAAGAGAGAGAGAGAGGAAAAAGAAAAGAGAGGAGAGAGAGAGAGAGAGAGAGAGAGAGAGAGAGAGAGAGAGAGAGAATGAATAAGGAATCTTCTAAAGGAGTTGGAACACTGGTCAAGAGCTGTAACACTGAAGACAGTGACAGGGTCTGAAGGGCCTATTGGCAGGGCTAATGGTGACAGGCCTTGCCATGACTCAGCAACAGTCAGTGATGAGAGACAGAAAGATTAGGAAGAACTGTCCTGAGAGGAACTTGTCTTCAATGTGACAAAACAGAGTTTACTTTTATGAGGCAGAGAAGAATCCTGCATGGTCAACTGAATTGTAAAATCTCTCT